TTGAGCAGCAGTACGACAGAGCATGTGGCCGCTCGAGAGGTACAGGAGGAACGGGGCCCCTCTGAGTGTGTGGGGACCAGCATGCGTCCTGGTGATGGGGGAGGCAGCCACACAGCCCGCTTCCCTGGAGCCCTGACCATCCTGCTACAGCCCAGAGCTGAAGCCCCCCGTGCCCGTGCCCCCAGTGGATCCCCAGCCCCCTGCCTGGTCTCCTGGCCTTGTGCCTCATCCTCCTCTCCACAGCCTGGCTTCTGAAAGCCATCCTGGACCACCTGGCTTCTTTTCAAAGTTCTGCGTTTTGCGAGATTTGCAATGCAAAATCTCTATGACCCTTTGCTACCACTGGAAACACTTGAAGGGGGACCCCAGGGTCTCCTGGACCTCTCACTGCTTCTCCCAGCCGAGATGCACTGTCATTCCTTAGCACCAGCTCTCCCACCCCAGGGTCCTGACTAGTCAGAGGTGGCCCTGCCCTCAGAGCGGGAAGCCTCAGCCAGGCCGCTGGGAGGCCCAGCTTTTCCCCTCAGACCCTGGACTTCTGCAGATGTAGCCAATCAGAGGAGGGAAAGAGGGTGCCCCCCCAGCAGCCATACAGGAGGCGAGTGCACCGTTTCCCTCACAGCCAGCCCCTCGGGTTCCGGCCCCTGAAATGCCTTCTGGGTTAAGCCTTCCTGGGCCAGGTTGGCAGGGAGCCCCCACTTCTGCACATCACCTCTGATGCACCAAGCTTGACCTCTGCCTCTCTTCTCTGTGCCCATCTCAGGGACCATGATGTCTCGTTCACTCCCAAGCTCGCCACTGGCAGACCCCAGCGCGGGTCCCATCTGCTGTCCCCAGTATGCCCTGGGCTTGTGTCACCAGCCAGTGGTCCCAGCATCTGTCCCTGACTCTCACCCCAGCACCGGGGACTGCCGGACTCTCACCCCACACCAGATAGTATTGCACTGGACGGGGCAAGGAACTTGTTTTCTTTCCCATAAAATGCCTGCTCTTAACCCCCTTCTTGGGGGCTCTTGAGGACCCAGCTGGGTCAGGGTTTGATCTTTGAAGTCTGCAGAATGCCAAGCTTCAGCTGTGAAACGCCCAGGATCCCAGCTTGCTCTCAACAGCTCTTCAGGGCCTCCGGTTCCTCCTGCCGCCCATCCGAGACTAGGAATAGGAGGAGCCATACCTTCTGCTGGAAGGCAGCGGCCCTGGCCTCTGTGCCAGAGCCCATTGGGGAACCTTCATGCCTTATTTATTTCTAGTGGGTAAAGCAGTTTTCTTAACAAGCATGCCCAACGCCCTGGAGGCACCGCCCTGCCCCAGGCAGCACTGTGAGGAGGGCTGGTGGCTGGCTCCTTCCAGTCCCATCCACAGGAGTCAGAACCTTTTGTCCTTTGGGGCCGGGCAGCTCCTGGCCCTCTGTGTGTCTCTGTCATCGAGGGTAGAGGGGACCCTACTCACACCCTAGCTCTGTAGCAGCCGACCAGTGTCACCTTTGGAGTTTATGTGAGAGAAATCTATTTACAAATGCTTTATTCTCTTCTTTAATAAAAAACGCACCAGTATCCTGAAAGCAGCAAGGCCCCAGTGCCATGGGTCCCCTATCTGTGTCTCACACACTCCTGCGTCACAACACCCCTACAGGGAGCAGGAGGGGTCCGAGGTCCTCTCCCCAGCCCTCTGCTCGCCACTCTGACTGGCAACCAAGCAGCTCTTAATAGAAGAGCTGGAGTTTTGAAGGCACCAAGTGTCTCTGTGGGAAAGAATTCACCAGATTGGTCAGCCAGTGTTCATGAGTTTGTCTGCCCCCTTAGGAGATCTGGGCTTACGAAGTCAGTGTCCAGGAAGTGGTTTATTCCACCCTGAAGACCTTGCCTGTGGCAGTGATGCTAGGAAGGTAAAGCCTTGATTTTAGTCCCTGTTTTAAACAGCCAGCATCCCAGGCGAGGTGGGGGGGCTTATTTTCTAGGCAAACCAACCAGCCAGGGTCCCCCTGCTCCCCTGGAGTTCATATTCTGATGTGGGGATCAGCACACGCACACACAGGGGTGGTGGGAAAACGGCAGGAGGGCGGTGCTGCATTAGCTAGGGCGTGCATGCTCAGTGAGGCTCAGTGGGGCGTCATTGCCCCCAAGGGAACATAAGTTGGCTCCTGGGGGACAGAGAGCTTACTGTTAATGTATACAGGCTGTCCCTGGTAGTAAAATGTCACAGGGGAGTGATGAAAACTCACTGCCATGAGTCCATTCCACTCATAGCGACCCCTCCTTGGGTTTCCGATGTGGTATCTTTACGGAAGTAGATTGCCCAGTCTTCCTTCTGAGGAGTGGCTGGTAGGTCTGAACTGCCAGCCTTCTGGTTAGCAGTCAAATGCCTTAGGCACTGTGCCACCAAATGTCTAAATAGGCTCTTTTGTGGGGTAGAGGGCGTGACAACAAAATAGCAGACGAACACTGGGGAGGGGGATGCCCTGGGAAAGGCCTAGCGATTGAGCTGACTCCTAAAGGCTGGAGAGGAATTGGAGTCCCTGGATGGTCCAAACGGTTAGCACACTGGGCCGCTGACCATAAAGGTTACAGGTTCAAGTGCACCCAGAGGTCCCTGGGAAGAAAGGCCTGGTGATCTCCCTCCGAAACACGAGCCACTGAAAACCCTACGAGCAGTTCTGCTGTGACACGTGGGGGCCAGGAGTTTCAATCCACTCCACAGCAGCTGGGTTTGTGGTTTTTTTTTTTTTTTTTCTTTCTCGGGGGCGGGGAACAGCTTGATTTTTTACTTGCCCTCCCCCTACTTCCTCTCTCCCCTACAAATGTCCCCTTCCTGAAGCACCATCCCAGCCTTTGGAGGGCCCAGGAGAGGGAGGGGAAGGCTGGCCTCAGTCTTCAGTGCGCACCTGTGCAGGGGCACAGGTGACCCCTCTCAGGCCTGCTCCCCCTTCTGGAAGGTTCACAGCAACAGCAGGTGAGAGGGGCTTGCCAGCTGCTCTTTCCTCCACCCCAGGGCAGCTTGCCTCATCCTCTCCCCTATCCCCCTCCTCTCCCAGAATCTAGGCCACCAGATGGCTGGAGCAGGCTGTGTTTATTTGGGGCCATGGAAACCTGCAGCTTCCTTTTCCTGTCACTCTGGGTCAGGCCTGGGGCTGGAGCCCCACAGAGAAATGATGCCACAGAATGATTTTGGCTTTGTTATTTATAATCCCTCAACCCTCAACCTGAGTCCCGCAGTCCCCACCCCACCCTCCAGCAGTTTATTCTAGTCACCATGGAGATACCTCTGTTCCCTCTGAGGTTTGGGGACTAAGGCACACAGGGAGGGGACCCAGGGGACTCGACTTCCAGCCCAGGGCCCAAAAGAAGAGTGTCAGTGACCGCCCTCCCCCCCTTAGTAGATCTGGCCTTACAAGGTCAGGGCCGGGAAAGTGGTTTATTGCATCCTGAAGACTCTGCCCGTGGCAGTGATGTGGAGAAGATGAAGCCTTGATTTGATTACAGTCTCCTGTTTTAAACAGCCAGCATCCCGGGGTTGCCAGGGAGAGCTTATTTTTCAGGCAATTAAGCTTCTTCCTAAAAACAGAACTCTTCGTTGAGGACAACCACTGGTATCGCTACCAGTCACTAACATCATTGGGCTCTGCGTTCATCTACCACACTGCCATCAACAGAGAAACTGCCCAGCACCTAGCGGATTCCCAGCACTGTTTTCAGAGCCAGAGCCTCCCAGTTCTGGAGTTCATCGGGCTTCACAGCCCCACAAGGGCTCTGCCCGCCGCCCCAGTCGCCCCTTAACTCCAGGAGAAGTTGCCATCACATTCCACAAGAGATTTCCCCCGACAAGACTGGGGCGGAGCAGGGCTGTCCCACTTCTCGAAACCATCTCTCTGCGACCTGCCTCCCACTCCTGCCATCTGGTATTTGTCCTGCAAGAGGCTCTGGGTGTAAAGCATCGCACACACGTTCTGGAGGATTTGGGTCTAGGGCGCCTTGTGAAAAAAAGCCTGAAATGACTAAAACCCAGCTCTCCCAGAGCTCAACTCTCACAATGCATTTTCCTAAAACTCGTGTTACCAGTATTTATTACCTCTTATGGACATGGACCACAATCTAGGTGCTCAGGAGACTGACGGCAGTGCCGTGTGGGTTCACATTGTAGCCAGGGAAGAAAAAACAAAACTATGGACGTTAATTCCGACTCACGTGTTGCAGAGCTGAACTGCTCCATAGGGTTTCCTTGGCTGTCATCTGTACAGAAGCACATCACCTTTCTTCCATCACCCGTGGTTAGGTCCAGCGCAAACCATTTGCACCATTTGGGAACTTTCCAGCTGGGAGATAGGCAAGAAATATTAGAAAAAAGATAGAGTGACATGCAAAAGCAGATTCAGTAGCAGGGTGGAGGGGAGATGGCGCCTGGGGGTGACAGATTACAGATGAACTACGTGGCTCAGGGCTGGCCTCATTGATAATGTGAGATTGGGAAGTGCATTCCAGGCAGAAGGAACGGTTTCTGTGAGGGAGACAAGAATAGTGTTTCTGCGGGACACGGGATCTGGGGGGTTCCTTTCACTAGGGGGAGGCTCTCTGGCGAGCTTGCTGTCTAGCCAACGTCATACCCACTGCTGGAGCAGCCGACCAGGACTCCCGCAGGCGACCAAGCCACAGCCTCTAAGAGTCGCCACCAGAGAGCAACGCCGACCCCAGCTCGCCTCCTCCCCTGAAAGAAAACCAAACTCACCGCCATTGAGTCGATTCCGACTCCTAGCGACCCGCACTGGGTTTGCAAGGCTGTAAATATTTATGGAAGCCAACTGGCTCATCTTTCTTGCGCGGAGCGGCCAGTGGGTTCAAACTACCGACCTTTTGGTTAACAGCCAAATGCTTTAAGTACTAATCTAACAGAGTTCTTTCCTCCTCCCCTAAACGGGAACTAAAATGCCCCGGAACCAAAGTCCGAGGGAAGCGCTGGCTGCCGAAGGGCCGGTAGGAAGCAGCCGCCGGAAACGACCGGGAGCCCCCAACATGGCGGCCGCCTGGTGCCTTCGCTGGGGCATGAGCCGAGCCGGAGCCTGGCTGCTCCCGCCACCCGCGCGCTATCCTAGCCGGACTCTGCACAAGCAGGTAGACGGCGCCGAGTTCCAGAGCATCTACAGCCTGGACAAGCTCTACCCTGAATCCAAGGGGCTGGACACCGCCTGGAGGGTCCCGGTGAGCCGGCAGCGGGATACACGGAAGGGGCGTTTCCTGGCCTCTCCTGGGTGACGTCAGGAAGCTGCGTTCGCACAGCCGTGGCCTGCCGCAGCGGGGAAGCCTCCTGGGGGCTGGTTGCCAGAATAAGTGGGGGCCGGGGCTTGAGGAGTGGTCTTGGTGCTGGGTGTGGCTCCGGGGTCTTTTCGCGTGTGGGGAGGCCACCAGCTTTTCCTCTTTAGTTTTCCGGCCCAGGGTCCCAAATTCCTGTTCCAAAGAAAAATGTGTGCATTCCAGTCCTCCACAGTGGATAATAAGAAGGGCCAAAGCCTGCAAAGTTGTTGGCTAAAAGGAAATTTACATTGTCCATAGCCTCTAGTAACCCTAGCACACCCCAGTCAACAGGACCCAGCTTGCTGTGTGCAAGCGCTGTATTAGGCTGGGGAGCTAGAGAGCCAAGACCCACCCAATTTCACTGAACTTCCACTTGCATGACTCGTGGAGAACATTCGTTCATTCATTCAGCAGACTTCTGTTGAGAGCAGGCCGTGTACAGTGTGCTGTGGCTGGATACAGAATAGCTAACAAAAGATGTGTGTGGATCTTACCTTCTAGTGGAAGGAGACAGGCCAAAAAGAAAATAATATAGAATATGTGAGAGTGTTAAATGCTTTGGAGAAAAATCAAGCCCAGAAGGAAGTGGCCTGCTAGGGGTGGGGGTAAGCTTGCAATTTTTAAGTAGGATGGTGTGGGAGGACTCAGTGAGAAAGTGACATTGGAGTAAGAGCTTGGAGAAAACAAGGCAGCTGAGTGAGAACAGAGCAGAACCGAGGACCCCAGGGAAAGGGAACGACAAGCCCTTGTCCCCAGGAAGGAGCAGGTGGGCTGCCAGGTTTGTGGCTCCAGGTTGGCAGGGGTGGCCCTTTAGGAGTCTCTCTGATGTGTGTGCTGGGGCACCCTCCCTCCCCGGAGCCAGCCCTCTGATGGGGACCAGCACAAGCTCAGGCTGGGGCCGGGAAGGCTGGAGGGGTCAGTCCATTTCCCTGGAGGAGTGTTTTTCAGATGGTGCCTGTGGAGGCAGGGGCTATTTTATCCTTCATTCCGATAGAATTAGTTTGCTGGGGCCTGAAGATAGCAGAGCTTTGAACCAATTCTCCCCGGTTTAGTCATGGCCAACAAAGCAATACCAGAATGGACCTGAATTTGTAAACTATGGGTATACAGGAATGATAACCAGAACGAGAAAAACTGCTGGTCAGTGCTTTGCTAGAAACTCAGTCTCCCTCCTAGAAAACAAGGTCAGCATGTGCATTGCTTAGCAACCAAATCTCTTGACCTGAGAGATGAAAACAGCAGTGCCCGGCCCCAAAATGGCAGCCAACTCCACAGCTTTGAATGTGTGTTGCTTTCCACTGCCCTGGTGATAATCCAGTCTCCCACATCAGGCTCCTGAAAGGGCCCACTATGGCTCTTCTGAGTGTCCCCCTCCAAAGCTCCAACCCATGATTTTTCCTCAGTTCTGTTCCCATTTCACTGTATAGGCTGTGACCGAACCAGGAAGAGTTGGTTCAAAACGCTGGAAAATAGTAATGCCTATGTTTGCATTGGGAGCTCTGGTGGCATAGTGCCTAAGGCACTTGACTGCTAACCAGAAGTGGTTCAAACCCACCACCCACTCCTTGGAAGGAAGACTGAGCAATCTACTTCCATAGAGGTACTGCCTCGGAAACCCAAGGAGGAGTTGCTATAAGTAGGATCTGACTTGATGGCAATGAGTGGTTTTTTTTTGTTTTTTTTTTTTCCTTTTCTTTTCTTTTTTGCACTGTGGCTTTATGTAATGTCTTTTGATGCCCTGGACCAAGTAGGAGTCACCCCACAGGTTCATACGTATTTGACACCGTGAACATTACCTTACAGGATGATGCCAAGAAAGCCAACAATGACATTCCTATAGGTAAGTAATTCTGTTTCATTAAAAAGTAGTCATTGGTCCTGCCCCTCACATGGACCATGCAAAGAAAGGAATTGTCTTTGGGTACAAAAGTGGGGTCCGTGCAGCACTTCTTAGAATGAACGGCAAACGGCGCAGCCGCTCAGGGGAGTACTTTGCAGTGCATGGTGTGAACAGAGAGCCTTGATGTTCTCGTGACTCAGGACGGTCTCTACAATAGATCCACTGATCATCATTTGAAAACAGTAAGGGGCAGTAGAGTGTATGCAGGGTGCTACCGTTGGTGTCTGGCACGCGGACGTGTAGGTATCTCCACACGTGCACGTATATGTTATATATGGAAAGATACACAAAAAGCTGGACACAGTGGCTGCCTGGGCGAGTGGAGAGGCAAAGACAGGCTTGGTGGCTGGGACAGGAGTGGACGAATCTCCACAAAACCTGTCACTTTAGAATTTTGTGCCTTCCAAGCAGAAGGCCAGGCGTGACAGATGTGGCCAGTAACGAAGCAGTGGTCCTTTTAGATTCAGACAGGTTATTACTTATATAGAGAAGGGAAGAGTGGCCAAAGGTGTGGCTCCCTGTGGCCCTTGCTCAGGGTGACACTGAAACAAAGAAGCCAGTTGACCCTGACACACGTGGTGGGACGTCCTGTTACGGGGAAGCCTGTGCCACGCTGCAGCTCAGCAGTTTTGTAGCCTGCCAGCTGTGCCCCGAGGTGGGGGGGAGTGCAGAAAGCCCTGTCTCATCAGCAGCTGGGGCAAGGAGCGGTTCTTGGGACAGCCGTCTGGGGCAGCGGCAGGTGGGAAGCGGCCTGAAGCAGCTCCGCACAGGCCTCCCATGTGCTCAGGTTTTGGGAGGACAGCAAGTCGTTGTCCTCAAGACGCGGACTCAGCTACCCAGAGGGACCGAGTAGTTGAACCTGTGGGCTTGGGACCATAGTCACAGGGGACATCAAGCTCAATTGGCATAACATACTATACAAAACATTGTTCCACCTACTACTTTGGCGAGTAGCGACTGGGATCTTAAAAGCTAGCAAGCTGCCATCTAGATGCAACAACGGGTCTCTCCTCGTCACGAAGAAAGAAGAAAACCAAAATTAACGGAAACGGTCAGTCCTAGCGACTGGTACACCATCCGATCTGCAACCTATACAACTATGAGACCAGAAGAACTAGATGGTGCCCAGCTACCACTGTCATCCACTTGGAAGGGATGTAGGAGATCCTGCATAGAGAGGGAGAACAATGTGGAACAAAACTCAAAATCATTTGGAGGCAAAAAAAAAAAAGAAGAAGAAGAAGGTGGGGACCAGGTTTGCTGGTCCAATAGAGCCTGATGAAACCACTGAGACTATGGCCCCTAGCTGCCCTTCGGGTCTGGAATTGAACCCACAACTGTGGTTTCCAACCAAACAAAGTACAGGCATGTGAGTTAAACATTTACCTCAAGTAGACACACGCCCTGGAGAGAACAATCATGGGAGAGGCAAGGGCTGCTTATGCACAGGGAGACAGCTCAGGGTGCAGAAGAGGATGAAGGGATGGACACTGGGAGGAGGTAACTATGGGGAGGAAGTGGGAGGGGAGCTGCTGCATTGTAAATTTTGGTCAATGACATGATACAAGGTATATGTGAACTGCTGTATGAAAAGTGAATTTACTCTGTACATCTTCACCCAAATCCAAATAAAATTAAAAAAAAAAAAAAAAAGACATGGACTCAGCTGCCGCTCAGGCCTTGTCTGCGCGACCTGGGGGATCGTGCGAGTTGCCAGGGTATCGCGGTGGAGCCGTGTCCCCACAGTGCCATGTGGCGTGTAACCTGTTCAGACACAGAATGCAGTCGGGTTTCCTGTGACGAGGAAAAGTTGGGATCTGATGGCTGTCCCCATCGTGCCACAGTTCTCTGCCGTCCAGACCTCCTGTTCACCATCTTGTCCTGAGATTTTCCCACGACCATGCCTGCCTGCCTTTCCTCTCCGAGACCACAAGAGCTTCCCAGGAATTATGAAAAGGGCAGAAGAAACTCCATTTCACAGATTGAAAAAGAAAAAACCCTGAGACCCAGAGAAGTAGTAGGACTTGGCCAAGATCACACGGTCAGTGACTGAACCAGTGGAAGAAACTAGGGCTCCTGACGCCAGAATGGGTGCTCACTGATTCCACAGGGGTTTTGAAGCGTTGACTCTCGGCCAGGCATGGGGAGTGTGCGAGGAACACGCAGTAAACCGGCCACAGCCCTGCCCTCCTGGAGCTTATTGGGGTTCCACATCCACGTTTTGGAATAAATGTGTGTGTCCCTCAGTCTGAGCTTTTGAGGGAGTCCTTGCTTTAAAACAAACAGCAGAAAAGTAACGTGGAGGGCAGCAGGTCTAGAGACATGTATTGGACCAGAAGCAGGCAGCCTGACTTGTAATTTTACTCCCTGGCAACTGTATGAGCTGGGAAAGTCCCTTACTCTCGCCTGCTTTAGTTTTGACATGTGTGAGATATTGCCAACTTTTCTAATGTGAAAGTTATATTTGTCCATATAAAAGCCATGGAGAGATACTACGTGTAACAGGGACGGTTATGCCGAAAGTAAATGAGTAGCAGTTTACCCGTATTGCCATGGGATAATCATATTCTTGTGTTCTTCTGTTTTACAGATCGCTTGACAATATCTTATTGTCGGAGTAGTGGTCCTGGAGGGCAGAATGTTAATAAAGGTACAGGGAGCCTTGTCGTTCTCTTTCACTTTAAACCTTAGCTGGGAGACGGGTTTGAGGAGCCCCATGTTCATATTCTCGTGGAATAAAGGGAATTTTCAGCAGAAGCTTAAATTCCACCAGCTTATAATAATCCTCTTTATTCTTTGAACTGCACTCTGATTCTCAGACTTTCAGCCTGGGTTGCTGGGACTGGGATTGGCTTGTGATTCTAAACAAAGGGAAGTCACAGTGTGAGTGCTGGCAGCTCCCAGAACAGGCCTCCTTCATCCTCATGGAGCCCCTGCCCCCATCTTTGCAGAGCCCAGTAACACTGGGAGAGAAGCACTGAAGATTTGGTGGTTTTATTTTTGTCCAAAAGCGCCTCCCTATGTTCGTGGGCTCATTCCATGGCCAACTTTGTATCTCCCAGTTAACTTAGGGTAGAAAGTACAGTACGTGGTTGGATGTCTCCTCCCCCTTTGTTTCTGGATGACCAGCCACGCCCCGAGAGTCTCAGTGGCTGGTGGTCTCTCCCTGTCATCCGCAGTGAATTCCAAGGCTGAAGTCAGGTTCCACTTGGCAACTGCCGACTGGATCGCGGAACCCGTGCGGCAGAAGATAGCCATCACGGTAACCAGGGTCCCCTTCCCTCTAATCCCTCCGTGGCTTTCACCTTAACTCCGTAGGACTCGGGCTTTTCCTTTATTCTCTGCAGCATAAGAACAAGATCAACAGAGAAGGAGAGTTGATACTCACCTCTGAGTGTAGCCGCTATCAGTTCCGGAATCTGGCCAATTGCCTGCAGAAAATTCGAGACATGATCACTGAAGCCAGCCAGGTCCCCAAAGAGCCAGCTAAAGAAGATGCTGTACTTTGGAGGAGGAGGTACCAGAAAAGGCCCCAAACCAAAACCAAACCAAACTCCCTGCCATTGAGCCGATTCCGAGTCATACTGACCCTCATTGGGTTTCCAAGGCAGTAAATCTTTACAGAAGCAGAATGCCCTATCTTTCTTCCGCAGAGCACCTTATGAGCTCAAACCACCAACCTTTTGGTTAGCAGCCAAATGCCTTACCCAGTACATCACCAGAGCTCCTTAGAAAAGGCCCTAGGTTTCTGTAAACTGCCCCCTATGGATGGGCGGCTGGCTGCACAGGTAATAGAGGAGGCAGGGTAAAGTCCCAGACCTCCCAGCAGACAGGTGGAAAAGCTCCAGGAAGAGGGGGAGACTCGAATCTGGAACAAACGAGGTCCAGGAGCCAGCACCTACTGATCTGGTGTTCTGCTTCCCACAGGGCTCCTGGCATCCCCCCATTTTGAAAAGCACTGATTGGGTATCTGGGCCTAATTGTGGGCTTTTGTTTTCAGGATAGAAAACATGAATCGGGAAAGGCTGAGACAAAAGAGAATAAATTCTGCCATCAAGACAAGCCGAAGGGTGGATATGGACTGAGATCACCCCTGCAGCCAGCAAAGACCACTTCAGGGCGGCAGCAGCTGAGGGTCCTTCAACACCACAAAGAGACTTCTTTCTTTCTTTTTGTCAATACTTGTCTTTAATATTGGAGCTACCACGAGGATATCCATTCAGAATGAAGGTTGCAGGGACTGGTTGTAAAGGTCCTTATAGGCAATCATCATATTGTCAGACCTTGATTATACATTTAATGTATTAGCTGCAATAAAATTTTAATAAACTTTAGTAGGCTTTCTTTCTCATTCAGAATTCCTGCCTTTCTCTCAGTTGAAATGTGCCTGACAATGATTCACTCAGTTCTGACTATATGCCACAGTACAAGGGAAACAGGAACGCGTTCTGGTGGCTGTCCTCAGGGAGCATACAGTCGGGTGGAAGGGCTGAGTGGTGAGTGGACATTTGAGCTGGATCATAACAAGTAAAGAGGGGAGCGAGACATGCCACCTGAAGGACAATATGAATAACGGAGACAGGAAAGAGGCTGGGGTCGGGACGGTGATGAGGAAGCCAGAAGTTCTGAATGGTGTATTGTACAGAGGCATTGTGGGAGATTAGGCCGAGAGGAAGATGGAGGCTCAATGTGGAGCACTCTAATTCCAGGTAAGGAGTTTAGATTTATAAAATGCCGGTGAACAGGGAGCCACCGAGCATCTTGCACGAGGGCGGCATGCTGTGTGTAGGGAGCTGTATTGGACAGTGGGTTCTTGGAGGCAGGAAAAGAGCCTGGAATTGAGGAGTGATATTTGCAACAGTGTGGGCAGGGAAAGTGCACCCAGGCTACGTGATAGTCACAGATGACTCGTGTGTATTTGCCATTATTTTGATCAAGTTGACTTGTTGGACAAATGCTGTAACGTGATGATCAGATGCAGGGTGGTGAACTGCAGTACATTCAGTTCACGTCAGCAGGGACCTCATCGTTCATGGAAGAACATTGATAAATGACTTTTTACAAAATAGCAAAAGATCTGGAAAATGTGGACCCTGCCCTCCAGGGACTTAGGGCTTATTGGGGGCCTGAGGCTTACATGCAAGGAAGTGTGACCTTCATTGCTTCATTAATACAGCTGCCAGGCACTGGGTGAGGTGGTAGAGCATCTACAGTGAACAAAACAAAAGACCTTTCTTCCGGGGAGTTAACGTGCCAGTTGCAGGGAGAATAATCGGTCAGATGATGCTAAAAGCTGACGAGCCGTGAAGTCCTGTTACAGTAACAGCACTTAAATGTGGCAAATGGCATAAGAAAGACCTACATAACTTGTGGGAGTGAGAGGAGCAACTAGTTCCAGTGGGAGGCTCAGAGACGATGGACTTGAGGAGGTGGCATTTGAGATGGGCCTGAAGAAGGGGAGGAGCTGGCCATGGACAAGGTCAGGGCAAGTCTTTGGAGCTCCATTGTGGGCTAAGGGCAAGGCTAGGAAAGTGTGGGCAAAGCCAGGGGCAGTGTACTAGAGTGATAGGACGGCCTTTGAAGCCATCCCCCAAAAGCAGGGGGACCGTGACAAATGACTTCTCTGAACCTTAAATTCCCCATCTGTAAACTAGAGATGACGTAACTAGTCCCTACCTCATAGGGGTGATTAATGGCATGTACCAAGAGCTCAGGGAAAATCGTTGTTGTTAGACATCATCAAGTCGGCTCCCACTCACAGCGACCCTGCATACAATGAAGTGACCCTGTGTACAATGAAGCACTGCCCAGTCCCCACCATCCTCATAACCCTCACTCTGCTTGCGCTCATCATTGTAGCCCCTATATTGATCCATCTCGTTGGGTCTCCCCTTTTCCACTGCCCCTCTACTTTACCAAACATGATACCCTTCTCCAGGGACTGGTCCCTTCTGACAACGCGACCAAAGTACATGAAAAGACGTCGGACCATTCTCGCTTCCATGGAGCATTCTGGCATTCTAAGGAGCATTTCCAGGGAAAGGTAACCATCATTAATAGCCCAGTTTGGCTGGAACCTAGGGAACAAGGAGCTAAAGAAGATGAGTTTGCCATGGTGAATGGGGTCCAAGCTAAGACATTTAGACTTTACTCCCAGAGGATGCCAGGGAAGATTAACGTGGCCAAAGCTGAACAAGGAACGCCTGCAGGGAAGGGGCACAGGTTGCAGAATGACCCAAGCGAGCTGGCAGGGACCCAGTGGCAAAAGGAATGGAGAGAAAACAGCAGATGAAATAGACCTTATGGGCATACGATCGGCCAGGGCAGGGTGGGAGCAGGTGTGTGGCAAGGGGTGATGTCTGAGGGGATGCCTGGATGGTGAGTGTGGTTTTGTCTGTTAGGAGTTGACGCTGGGGCATGAGGAGAAATGTCCAGGTAACCATGACAGGAGAAGGGATGGAACCTTAGAGCTCAGGAATGAAGTTGGATCTGGGAGATCCAGGACAGAGGCGGACAGGTGAAGTGGGAGCAGTTGAGGAGGGAGGCAAGACAAGCTGGGAGTGGGGGCGGACATGAAGCCTGGTGAGAAGGTGGTGGTGGGTGGGAGAACAGAGAAGGAATGGTCCTGGGTGGGGTAAATTCAGCGTAGGGGTCGGCATCCCCCTAGTTCACCCCGCGTGCATAGTGTGGGACCCGTGAGGCCCTCAGCAAACACCGATAACATGTAAAGTGGTCTGGAAAAACATTCAAGACACGGGGAGGACACAGATAAAGAGAAACGAAACAGTCTGGTGCGGATAGAACAGAGCACAGAGGCAGGACCCATCCTTAAAAACAAAAGACGAGGGCAAAATAATGATCATAGGTGAATCTCATAGGGTCAGTGTTGTGCAAAGGAAGCCAGGCTTTACAACGGAGTATGAATCCATTTATATAAAGTTCAGTACCCGTCTGCGTCCTCGGCTCCGCGGCCCGCAGACAGCGCCAGCTCACGGAACGTACGCCTATCCAGGCGTTCTTTGGAAGACAGGGAGGTTGGACCGTCTGCAACAGCCTATTACAGGAAGAGACGCCACAGCGCTACGCTGCCAGCCCCAGTGGCCTAATGGATAAGGCACTGGCCTCCTAAGCCAGGGATTGTGGGTTCGAGTCCCACCTGGGGTAGCTTTTTGGCCCGCCCCTTCCGGAGCAGCCAAACTTTGCTAGCGTTCCGATGGTCCAACCCTAAGTCCGTAATCGGCCCGATCTGCCCCGATCGTCCAAACTCCTGTTCCCTGCTTTGAACTTTCGGGGAGGGCCTGAGGCGGCCTTGACTGAGCTGGACTGTCGCCGCCAAGGCAACCCAATCTTTTGGACAAGTCGAAGACCCGGAGTGGGGGACAGGACTCACACCAAACTGCCCGCCCTCGCCCAGCTGGCGGGGAAGCCGGGAGCACGAGGGACCACAGTCGGCGCCCGCTCTGGAGCACCCCGAGACGGGGATAAAAGATTAGCGGAAACCTACCAAGTGCGCGGGAAAAGAAGGCAGGCGGGATGGTGGCGAGTTGGCGGGGACAGTGCATTGCGGGGGCCAGGAGCAAACACAGAATCGGGAAAACGTGGAGCGGCGCCGGGCCTGCGCATTACGGCACCAAAAACGTCCCTCCACAAGTCCACCCCAGGTGGGACTCGAACCCACAATCCCTGGCTTAGGAGGCCAGTGCCTTATCCATTAGGCCACTGGGGCGCGACCAGACGTCAGTTTCACGAGATCCGTGGTACAGTGCGCCAAGCCTCACGTGCTGGAACACCTGGTCCAGTGATGCCTGCCGGGTGCCCGGCGGATCCTGGGACTGCGGATCCGGGACTAGGCTGACAAGCGGAAGCCTCGCCATCCAGCACCGTGTCAGAACAGGCTGCGCAAAAAGCTGGCGTTCCAGGCCAGGTGACTGGGAAGTTACCGGTTCGGGCAAAAGGGCGCCCAGTTAGGGGGCGGCCGAGAGGCCTGTTGGTGGTTTCATGGAGCCCAGCGAGTGAGAAAGGAGCCCGCAAGGAAAAACACGGCCGGGTTGCTGCGGAATGGTATGGGGCACCTGCACAAAAGGATACTACCACCAAAGGACGCGAACCCTCAACTGTCTGATGTCAAGTCGTACGCCTTATTCGTTAAGCCACAGTCATATAAACTACCTCCGAATCACAGCTTCACACAAGTGCCGCCCCTGGGGGTGGCGCGCAGGCGACTCGGCGGTCGGAGGGAGGAGGAAACCTGGTGCGCGCGTTGCGCTGCAGATAGCGTCATAGGCGCGGGGAAAGCTGGAGCCCGAGGTGGCTTCCCTGAGGCCCACGTTAGCACTGGTGAGTTCCTCGATCACCAAATAGTTGTTCCGATGGCTGCCTTCTCTCGAGGAGACCGCGTGGCCTAATGGATAAGGCGTCTGACTTCGGATCAGAAGATTGAGGGTTCGAGTCCCTTCGTGGTCGGGAAATGTTTTAATTCTCCCGAAGAGTGTAACATAATTGGACCTGCTACCGAATCCTGGCTCCTGTCCTTGTTTTAGACATGGCATGGCATCCGGATCCCCTCCGCGCGACTGGTTTCAGGTTCTGGAACTGGAGAGAGCGGCGCACGACTCCAGTCGGGTTTCGCGGCTGAACCCTTGCGGAGGTCTCTAAAAGGAACTTGTTGGCACCTGGTGTCGTAATACAGACCCGTAGCACTACATTCAAGGGGTGTATGATCGTGTGCCACCTGAGGAATCTTTTGGTAGCCTGATGGATAAGGAACTGGCTTTCCAGTGAAGGCTATGCGGGTTCGAGTCCCATCTTCTCTTCTCTTTTGTAGTTTAGTACACCGATTATAAGTTTTTTTTAAAAAAATAACACTCTGGTTGTACATATATTCTTTTTGTTTAATAGCTTTCTCTACACTTTTTCGATGTCTGGATTGCAATTAATTTACCGTTTCTTCTTGATGAAGCCTGACTGCACTTTGAAAGGTTAACGGATACTAGGGCAAGTGGAACCTCATTTCTTGTTGCCTTTCTCAAAATTGGTGCCAGACAGAAGAACCAGCTCAACATTCACACTTCCACCTCGTGAAATGTGAGCCCATCACTGCAAAGTTAAAAAGCAGAAAAAAATCCATTCCTGCTTTAGAAGTCGGGATAACGTAAGCCTGGGGCCGAGGTTGTGATAGGAGGCGGGGCTTCTGGCGAACTGGTAACGTTTTCTTTCTGAACAGCTGGGTGCCCTTCGTGAAGATCCAGGGATTTATGGTTTGTGCACTGTCCTGCGTATGCATATTACTGTATATTACCCTTTAATCAAATATTTATTTTAAAATGTACCATTCAGCCCAAAGATGTATTGATTGGTTACGCGAATGTCACAGTTCTTAGGGCATATCCCTGGCTCCTAGATTAAATACTTCACATTGTGTGTAAGATTTTGGGACCACATCAGTGAGTTTGATTTTTTTGGTCTACTTGGGGAGCTTTGGTGGCATAGTGTCTAAAGCAGTTGTCTGCTAAGCAGAGGGCTGGTGGTTCAAACCCACCAGCCACTCCTTGGAAGGCAGATCCGGCCATCTACTTCTGTACAGATACTGCCTCTGAAACCCCCCAGGGGTCTTCACTGTGAGTTGAATCCACTTGATGGCAGTGAGGTTTTTGTTTGTTTTGGTATTTACTTGGAGAGAGCCCAGCATTCTTCCTGTTCTCTCTAGCCCTGTCACCACGTTTTACAGATGCTGTTTAAGGTATCCCTGGCTTCCGTGCTCTGACACACGGCTGCAGTATCTCCTTAGGCTAGACCACTAGCGAGAGTGCTTCTTTTCTGGGCTTCACCTTCACTTTTCCCAGAAGCCATCCCGCATCTGTGGAGCTTACATTTAGTGAGAGAACAGTAAACAAGTAAACTTAATAAAAAAAGGATGAGAGGGACTCTTAGCTGAGTCATCAGAGAAAGCCTCTGCGTTAGTGTTTTGCTTTAAAAAACTCTCCCATCTGAATATTATATATAAATTCACCTATAATTTTTCTTGTTCATTGTGGGTTAGTTGGTTGGGTTTTGATAAAATTTAAATCTGAAACTGGAATAGATTTATTTTAGTGGAAATGATCTGTTTTTACTGTTTTTTAAATATTTGAACACTTCTCACCAGTGCCTTTCCTGTGATTTGAAATGCTAAGTTTGTAACTAATTAGATGCATATAGTCCATACATGCTCTGGACTCTTTCCCAGCATTCTAGTCTGTTCTATTGATCTAATTAGGTTTAGCTTTCTACGATGCTTCATAGATGACAGTACTAACTCATTTCCCAATGTATTAATTTTTTTCAGTTTTTTCTTGACTATTCTTTTTACCCATCTTCTGATTGTTCTTCAACAGGATGTATTTTGTAATAAATTTTTCTTCCTTTTAATATCATTAATTTGATAATGTTTTGGTGTGAAATGTTCATATTATTTTTATTTTGCAAGCATTCTTTAACTACAGATTTGATTTCCTGAACTAGTTACTCAAAAAAGACTGGAGAAATGCCTTTTTCTCCCCCTTCAATTGCCAGTAAGGAGACGGTACCTTCAATGCATCTGACTTAGCCTTCACTTTTAGCCACTTTGAATCTTTTTTCTTGTTTTAAAAGATGGATGGGTTACTGTTGGACTCTGGGTTGACCCAGCTTGAATTTTTGCGTTCTGAAAAGGGCATTTGCCCATTCATAATCCTCATGATGTTTGGTTCCATGTTTATGCCATTTTTGTTTTCACTTATTTCTCTTTATCTTGCTGTTTAGGTTTTTTGTTTGTTTTCCTCCCTAGTGATTTGCAAAGAACAATCCTATTTAATTAGTGATTAATTTTATTTTTTTAATGTAAAATTAATGTATGCTGTTGTTGTTATGTGCTGTCCAGTCGGACCCGACTCATAGTGACCCGACTCATAGTGACCCCTCCTTGGGTTTCTGAGGCAGTATCACTACGGAAGTAGATTGCCCCATCTTCCTTCTGAGGAGTGGCTAGTGGGTTTGAACTGCCAGCCTTCTGGTTAGCAGTCAAGTGCTTTAGCCACTATGCAACCAGAGCTCCAACAATGTAAAACTGTCACAGGCCAGGAGGGTAGAAGATTTACGAGGTGCCTCCAGTCCCTTCCAGGTGCTTTGTCGGAACCCGTCTGCAGCTGTTCACTATTGTTTCTTAAATCTTCTACAGGTTCTCCCTCAAATGCTAGGACCCCCCCCCCCTTCATGCTACAGCACTTTCACAGGACTCACGTTGCTTCTTTCCTTGAACAGTGAGTTCTAACCACACTCCAAAAGCAGACAGAGTGTATTTTTCTTAGATTCCTTCTTCATTTTTTCTCTTGGAAATTGTCTGAATCCTCACCCATCTTCAGCTGCATAGCTGGTGCCAGTTCAATGATTCAGCATGGGGGAGGGGGGGAGTGGTACCATTTTCTGTCTTCTGGCCCAGCTACCGTGGAACCTCTCGGATGACAGGAGGAGTAAAGCACCATGAGAGGAATGCACCCTGCTCTACCACATCCCACCTTCCACTGAAGCCCTGGCCTCACCATCAGGGTGCCCAGCTCTCCTCAGCTCCCACCCTCTGAGGTGGCCGCTTTCTTGAGCATCATGAGCCAAGCTGCATTGCTCCAGTGAAGTCCACCTGCATGTTCGGCAAAAATGCCCGTTTCAGGCCTGTGCATGCTGCCCTTTCTGTGGGATTTAAACCCAGTGAAGTAGGATGCCTCTACTTTGATCACTTTCTTACCTACCAGCTTCCTAGCTTCTCCCATCTAATTCTCCTGAACAATCCTGATGTTTGTGAATGCCCATGACAGCAACTGAAGTCAGAAATTAACTGGTCAAGGGATGAAGTGGTAAGCTATCAGGGCCTCTGACTTCAAGGGCAAAAGAACTCTTTCCATCAACTCCCCTTAGGTTTTTTTTCTTCCCCATCTTCCCTTACACCCCATTTTCCTGGCATTGGTCCATTCTTCGAACCAGTCTAACAGGATTTTAAAAATCAACCGGTGGAGTTAAAACTGTTTTCCATATTGAAACACAAAGCTATAATGGGTCTTGACCTTGTAAGAGTTTCCTTTTAAAGCAGTTTAATGTTCAGAAGCTGGAGCACAGAAAAAGTGAACCCCCTGCTGCAACTCACCAGGCTGCTGTTACACTCGCCACTTGGACCATCTGCTCTTATGACTAAGGAACAAAAGAACGGAGCACTCCCCAGGCCAGCAGTTTGAAAGCAAAGAGGAAGTTCAAGGGAGTCAGTAGCTGAGTAGGGCTCTCTCTGCCACTGAACTACACTGTGCTAAGTGTTAGGACAACTCAGCTGCCCTAGGGGCTCAGTAACGGGCTCCTGTACATCCTGATCACACACAACTGGACCAGCACCCACCTTTAGGCCCACCTTGCCATTCAACAAGGAGCCCTGCTGGCACCGTGGTTAAGCTCTTGGCTGCTAATCACCAAGCTGGCAGTTTGGACCCAGCAGCTGCTCTGTGGGAGAAAGCTGTGGCAGTCTGCTTCTGTAAAGATTATAGCCTTGGAAACCCTATGGAGCAGTTCTACTCTGTCCTATAGGGTTACTTAGAATTGACAGCGACTGTTCTGTTTGTTTTCGGTTCCGTTTAACAGGAAGGCCATTTCCAATGCAATCACCTGGGAGGAGCGGTGTAACCATCACGATTGTAAAGAAAAAGCAGACATGAACAGCGCTACATAATTATTCTTGTTTTTAATGTTCAGAGTTTGTCATACAAGGGCCAGAGCTTCCTCTCAGACTCCATTTTATAAACTTTCAATTGGCTGATGTGGCCAGTAGGGATACTTGGTGTTGTCTAATTTGGTTTCAGGGAAGGCTTCATTCAGGTCATCGATGGTCATCTGATCAAACGGAATGATGTTCCTCAACTTCTCCAGCTGCAAAGAGGGAGACGGGCTCAGTGAGGGTGAACGGCCGCAGACTGAGTACCCGAGGCCGGCCCCTGCCACCAGGTGAGAGGAAAACCTACGAGGCAGGCAAAGCCATGGCTCACACTTACCTGTCTCTCATACTCCTCAATCCTGGTCTTCGAGAGAGACAAAAACTCAGCACAACTCTTCACCTTTAAGAGAACGG